CCCTGTAGGACACCTCAAATACCTACTAGTCATAGCAGACCGCTTAACTTCTTGGGTCGAAGACTTTCCTTTTCGATGTGCCACTGCTCCTGCAGTGGGAAAAATTTTACTAGAGCAAATAATTCCAAGGTATGGAGTGGTAGAACGGATTGATTCGGACCAGGCGACCCATTTCACAGCCAAGGTTCTGCAGGCTCTAGCCCAAGCCTTGGACGTTACCTGGGAGTTTCACACCCCTGGCATCCTCCCTCATCTGGTAAGGTTGAAAGGATGAATCAAGAGATTAAGAAACAACTTACCAGGTTAGCCTTAGCACCAATTGCACTGGAACAGATGCCTGCCTCTGGCCCTTCTCAGAATCCAAACCAAACCCCGCAGGGACATAGGGCTCTCTGAACTTTTGTATGGACACCCTTACCCTGAGGGAGAGGAAGGGAATTAGGACCCTCTGTTTGAACAAAAGGATAAATTCTCAAGAGAATATGTATCTTCCCTGGCAAAACATTTGAATACTCTTCAGATAAAGGAACTAATTGCTCAAACCCCACCATTGGGATTCCCAGTCCACAGGTACCAGCCCGGAGATTGGGTCCTGATCAGAGTTTGGAAGGAGGAGAAGCTTACTGCTACCTGGGAAGGTCCCTTTGAAGTTTTGCTGACCTCAGATACTGACATTCAGACTAAGGGAAAAGGTTGGACTCATTACACAAGAGCAAAAGGACTGATGGATTCCCCTTTGGTGTGGACTGTTGAATCCAGACATCCTGAGGAGCTGAGACTGCATCTCGGCAGAGGTCTCTTAGAGGGTTGGACACATGAACAATAAGGGCTGGAAGTGCTTGGGTGGTGTGATCATCATAGCCTTTGTTCTGTTGCTCCTTTTATTATTAGGCATTTTTATCTGTTGGGGGACCACATTTTTGGCCAAAGAATATTTCCCCTCTCCCCTCCGGTGGTGTAATCAGAGTGTGACGCCATGGAGGTTCCCTTGATCATTTTCTTATTAAGCTTGTCCTCCCTTTCCTTTCCAGCCCCAATCCCCTGGCTCCCCAGGGTCAATAGCTTCCAAAGCCTTGTTCAAATTATACCCAATTAACCTCACTAATTGTTGGATATGTGGAGGGCACAGCAGTGAGAGTATTGGCCTTGGGTCCCTGTTCCCCTGAAGCCACAATGGCTCCTTAGTAATAAGTCAGTAGTTAATAATGGGACAGGATCCTGGGAGGAATGGGAAGAGCATTCATGGCCCCTTGCTGAGAAAAAGAAGGGGTTATACTATCTGAACCAAACAGAGGGAAAGACCCCATTAAGAGAGTAGCTGTGAATGAACCTTCACAGGGCTCTTAAGAATCAGATCATATAACTGCACTGAGATTCAACGGCAGTGGAACAAAACAGGTACCCTGGACTTAATCACAATTTTGGGAAACCCCACACTGATCAAATTAAGGGAAGAAATATCCCAATGTAGGGGAGTGAGGGGAGCCATCGAAGTCCCCTATGCAGAATGGAGGTGGGTCAATGAAACTGGTGGAGGGAAGGGCTATTCCCGAGAGTATTGGAGTAAGACGAACAGAACAGAGATCCCCTCATCACTAGCTGCAAGTGGGAGAGAATGCGACACTGTGAAATGTCAGTATAGGAATGGGAGTGAGGGCAGGCCACTAGGACCCAGGGACAGGGAATATTACCTGAAAGTGGGGAATTATTCTGCTATGTTCCATCACCAACAGCCAGTTTTGAGGGGCATTATTGGATCTGTGGCCTCACTGCTTAAGCCCACCTTCCTGTTGATTGGACTGGATATGCTATTTTGGATTAGTCTGTCCCAAATCTTTTTCCTGTCAGCACAAGGAGGCAAACATTTGACTGTACCAGTTTACGATGATTTAGAATGAACAAGGGAGCCATTGATACCTCCATTGCTAGCATAGGAAATGCAAATGGGTGGGGATACTTGGCCCCCTGAAAGGATTATGAGGGAATATGGACCTGCGACTTGGGTGCAGGATGGGAGCTGGGATATCGGACCCTGATATGTATGCTTAACAGGATAATCAGACTTCAAGCAGTAATAGAAATCATTACTAACGAAACTGCTGTGACTACTGACCTTCTATCTGTTTTTGTAGACCAAAGTCAGGAGGCTATCTTACAACATAGGCTAGTCTTGGATTATCTCTTAGCTGAGGAGGGAGGTGTCTGTAGAAAGCTAAGCCTGTCCACTTGTTGTATGAGAATAGATGATGTGGGACAAACCATTAGAGATATTAACAAGAAAATCAGAAAAATTGCCCGTGTTCCAGTGCAGACCTGGTCCTCTTCATTTAGTACTCCCTGGTGGTCCTGGTTTGAGGGATGTTGGTGGAAGCAGGTATTATGGTTTTTGTTAATAGCAGTAAGTGGAGTCATACTGCTCCCAGTGTGTGCCCCTTGCATGGTGCAGTTAATTCCTACTACTGTACAAAAGACCCCCTCTAGAATGATTACATTAAAAGACCTGTCAGTGAGTCTATAAGACTAATGATATCAAGGAGTCAAGAGTGGATGACAGTCGATCAGGAGGAAGGAGGGCCCGATCTTGATGAAACAGCAAATAGGGATGCTGAAGAAATCTACTGTGTGGCACAACTGAAAGTTTCTCATATAAAATGGAAACTATGCTCCAAAAATGTAGTAAGGCTTTAGCATAAGCTGGGCCTAAGTTTCATTTGCATGTAAATCCTATGTTTTGGGGTGAGTAAGGTCCTGTACCAGCTGACCACCCCTTCCTTTGTTTTGTACCTTACCTTTGCCAAATAAGGCAATCCAAGTTTGTTTTGAGTAAAATGTATCTCTTAATTCCTGGGTAAAATTGTTTGTCTCTTACCTCAGCCAATGGGGATGAAGAGATTCAGGTAAACAAGTGGGAGGGGTTTTTCCTAGAGTTGTTTGTCTGAGGGTATATAACTGCTTATTTGCTGCTCGTATCTTGCCTCCCTACTCTAGTCCGCTCTGGGTAGGTCACGCCCAGCTCTCGCAGGAGACTTGCTAGAATAAAACTTCTGTTTCCTACCTGGAGAAACCTCTGAGTTTTTATTTGGGTGAGTGGTCTCTATGCCACTCATGGGAAACCTGTGCCCTCGAGGCACATGAGATCATGGAAGTAGCCAATGGCAAAGCCAGGACCAGACTGAAGTTTCTTAACTCACAGGCAGGCTTTCCACTGAGCCTCTTTGAAGATCCACATTTCTTATTTCCTTAGAAGTCATGCAGATTGTCTCTGTCTATGCTCTTAGGCAGTAGAGGAAGAGAAGGATCTATATTAGTGCCGACTGTGCAAAGAACAAAGTGAAATGTTTTAGCTGGTTGGCATGTAAACGGAATTCCTTAGTCCTTCAGTTCTGTGGAGTACTATATTTTCTTTAAGGGACAGAATTTGGAGAAAACATTAATTTAACTGCATTCTTTGTTTTCTGCACAACTACAATTCAAAAAGGCAAGGAGGGTGAGTTACTGGAGCAACCTCAGAATCCTTCTTAAAAGATTAGTATAAGTACTATAGCTATTGTGCTTGCCTTCAGTAAAATATGGCTGTCCTTTCTAAAGTTTCAAATTTCATATTTTCTGACTCCTAACTTCTATTGATGAAATATTAAAGCAATAGCCTTTGTTAAAGTGAGCATAAACAAATACCCTTCCCTACAGTTTTCTCTGAGAGTGTTCATTTTATATTCTAACTCTTGATTCTGTTGGTTTTGACACATTAGACGCTTTGTTTTGTGTGGAAATGCTTTGTATTTCAAAGTTAACTCTGTCAGAAGTACTTTTGAGTTCCTTTAAATGTGATCATCCTGTTCATATCTGCTCACCTGCATCCTGTTCATAAGAACCTGACACACATCATGCACAAAACTTTAAAAAGGCTTATGTAAGTGCTAGTAACAACTTGTATAGTTAATATTATTTTGTAGATCCATTTACAATTTGTGCAATACTATATGTAAAAGTCTTTGTTGCCAATAAAACTCTATCCTCTGTAAAAAAAAAAGTTTCTTTCTAGCATGGTTGAGTAAGTTCACAGCTCCACCAACAGGGCATTAGTGTCTCAATTTTCCCACATCCCTGCAACATTTGTCATTTCCCTTTTCTGTCATATTGAACAATCTAATAGGTGTGGGGTGGTACCTAAGAGTTGGTTTAGTTTGCATTTCTCTAATTAAAAGTGATTTAGACCACTTCTTCATATGCCTATATATAGCTTTGATTACTTTGTCTGAAACTGCTTTTTCATCTCCTTTGACCACTTGTCAAGAGGAATGGCTCTTATTTTTGTAAATTTGATCCTTTTCTCTCTATATTTGAGAAATGAAATCTTTATCAGGGAAACTTGCTGTAATTTTTTTTTCAGTTGTGATTACTGTATGTTCCCCTCCTACTCTCTTTCTCCTTTCACCGTGTCGATTCTCAAGTGTTTTACTTCTGAATACCCCCTCCCACTGTGTGGTCTGAGAGGTTGAGATCCCTCAAAGACTGGAGTACAGGACGGGGTCATCTGGAATGAATTCACAGACTCAAGCGTTCTTTAAGTCAAGGTGGTAGAGATATATTGTTATGCTTTTCAGCGGGCAAGGATTCTTAAGGAACCTTCAAAAGACTGAGGATGGAGGGAGGGTTTATACGGAAAAGGGCATGGGAAAGGAATGCCAGGGATACTGATTAGGTAATCCAAAGGTCCGGGTGTCTTTGGGAACTATGGATGGGAAACTACAGGGAGTATACTAGACGGGGAGGGAGATGAAAGAGGCATGGCTCTTGGGAGTCTGGCAGGAAGAAGAGCCCTTGGGCTGGCCAAGGACAAAACTCCTTGGGCTGGGTGAGGCACCCCTCTCCCTCTGTCTTGATGATAGCATGCTCTGCAACAAGGGAAAGCTTTCTCACAAGACAGGAGCTTACTAAGGAATTGGGAGGCTTCCAGAGACATGATCTGAGGGCTGGGGCCTGAGCAGCCCAGCACTCTCTCACCCAGCTTCATGTAGCTACACCAGAGAGAGAGATGAGGGTTATGCTGGGGCCCACATAGGAGTAACTGCTAGACACAGTGTCCTTGGTCTGGGGAGTGATTGTCAGAGACAGTGCTTCTGAGACTAGGGAGAAATTGGGATCCAAGTATAAGCACAAGCACCCAAGCACCACATCATTCCCCCCCTTAAACAGATGGGACCCAAAATCTATTGGGGTGAGGGACAAAGGTCTCAATTTCTGAAACTGCTTCCTGCTGGGTTTGGCCATAGAGCTGTCCCTGCCTCCTGGAGTCCCTCTGTTCCAGGGGTCGGTTCTCTCGCCCATGTCTGGAACTTGGCTGCTGCCAGATCCAGGGGGTGATGGGCTGTGGTCTCAGACAGGGGCTGGAATACAGCTTGAGTGGTCATCTGGAAGTGGAGGGCACTGAGCCTAGAGGACACAAATCTGAAAAGGAGATTAAGTAGACAAGGAAGGGCCAAAAAGAAGTAAAAAGAATATAATCCTTTCATAATCCTAATATATATACATATACATATACATACATATATACACATATATATGTATGTATATGTACATATATATGTGTGTTTATGTATATATGTGTGTGTATATGTATATACACATATATATGTATGTATATGTATATATATATGTGTGTATATGTATATATATGTGTGTGTGTGTATATATATATATATATATATATATACACACACATATATATTAAGTGGGAAAAGAATAGTAGTTAACATAGAAGCTAGGATCCCCAAGAAGAGGATGACGTTGGTGTACTAAGGTTTTCATGGATTTCTTGCATCCAGGTAAATTTCTTTAGTTCTATTGAGCTCCACCTATTGAGAGTTGTTAATATATATACAGCAGGAGGTGTTGGCCAGGGCACAGACACCACCACTAAGCAAGTAGATAATCCAAAGCTATCTGATTATCCAGGACCACATTTTCCAGGGAATCCAGATGTTGTTGAATGTCCCAGAGACTATAAGCTGTGTCATTTGCCAATTGGTGAATGGTCCCTGTCAAGTTTGAAAGAATGAACTCGTGTTTTAAATGTCCATACCAAGGCATGAGATGCTCCATTCCCTTTTTAAGGTACCAGAGAGAACATTGTCCCAGAACACACGCTTTACTCTTGTTAGGGTGGAGGTGCTGGGTTTAGTAATATTGAAAATGGTCAGAGGTGGTGCCAAAAATCCAAGGGAGCACACACCAAAATCCTTACAAGGTGTGAAACATTGGGTGGCTAGAACAACATTCCTGGGGTCCTGCCAAGTAGTGGCATTTTGCTTTACTTTTTCCCCAGATTCCTGACCACCTGGCCCACCCAACCCACAAAGGAAGGAGTATCCCTTAGGGGTACAGATGGGACCTGTTTGTAAAAGGTAGTGAGGATCAGTATGATTACATGCCAATATTCCAGGTATAACAGAAACTTTCAAAAGATCAACAACAGTGTTATAGTTAGAGGGGACTGTAGCATTGTGTATCAACTGAGAAGAGAAAGTTAAATAAGGAATACTTACTAGGAGAGTGGCAAGAAGAATTGGGTCATAGGTGCAAGTAAGGAGTGTTCCCTCAGAATAGGTGGTACAGCTGGGAGATGTAAACTTCTGGGGATACTCATCATCCTTACAGGTGGTACAAGTCAAGAGACCAGCAGAGACATTGACAATCCCTCCCTTGACAGGGGTCTTTACCCGTACAGTGGCCATAAGGCTTGTCTCTCAAGCAAGGGAATAATTCCGTGTTGAGAAACAGGATGTTGAGATAGAAAAATTTTCCCATAAAGGAGTGGCCAGGACAAAAGGGATGGTCAAAGACCTCTGAGGTGGTTACATTAGGGAAGGGGGTTCTTGCAAAAACTGCTTTAAACAAAAGAGGTTCCTAACTTCAACCTCACAACAACTGAATAGATACACAATCTTGTTCCACAGGCTTGTTTATACTTCTCTTATTATACTTCAGAAATTGAATATTTTACACAGGATAAATTCAAAAACTGATTTTACTCTTACTTAGGTGATGGGATAACTACAAATTCAGATCAAAACAGCAAGATCTCACATACTTACATTGTGCTCATGTCTTTTACCGACAATTTGCTGTGATCACAGAAATCTACTCTAAAAGGAAAAAGCAGGGACATGTGACATGCCAAACATGACAAGATCCTTAGCTCTGTTTGAATTCAGATAAGAGTCACAGTTCTCCAATCATGCCGTGTCTGTTTCTCCTCATAGCCAGACTCAGGAATCATCAGGTGGGAAACATTCCTTCTCAAAGGAACACAATGGGGAAACTGAGCCAGGAGGATCCTATCCTACATTGAGGCTAAGATTGTCCTCGCAGCTTTTTCCCAAATGAATCCCATTCCCTCTGAGTAGACCTCCACCTGTTCTTGTGGCATTTCTCTCAGACACTGATTTAATGCAGACAACTATACCTAAACTCAAAACAAAATTAGTTATAGTCCCAAGAGCCTTTTACCTCAAACAGCAAGTTTCACTAATTACAGCCTAAAGCCAGATACAGTTAATGTTACTGTCATGGAGTTGCAATAAGCAATAAAGATTTACCAGGACTCACATACATAAGAGATTTCACTTTCCTTCTTTCTCAAATTTAAACTTGTCCTGGTGTAAAAACCAATCATTAGAAATCATTTCTGTCTATTGTACATACACTTCTCAGCCGAGTTCATTGTTTAGGACCTCAAACCCTAACAAGTTCTTTTCTCAGAGCAGATGACCTTGCCCACACAGATGGTTTCCAGGGACCTTGGCAAGTTTACAAAATAAGGGGAATTGCCATTTACTCCAGGGAAGGGCTCATCCTGGTGCCCCTGCCTGCCGACCCCCTTATCCCAAGGAGGACTATTTGGAATGGGCAGAACCAATCTGGATAAGGCTTTTACCCAATCCCCTCCTTTTCACACACTAATCAATTAACACTTCTAGGTTTTAACATTAAAACAGTAACTTAAAACAACTTAGTTAACAATAATAACTTTCATAAGTGATAGTGAAATTGTTTTAGCTATAAGCCCTTCTTTAATTACAGGTAAAGGTGGAAATACCTGATTTTCTAAATGGCAGTTATCAAACATTATAAGACAATATTAGCAGGACTGACAAAGTAATATAACTGGTTTTACACAAATTTTCCACCATCCTTTAGTTTCTTTAAGTTCACACTTTAATAACATCCAAATCATGAAAAGCTGCTTCACATAACTGATATAAAAGTTTACCGATTTGAAGCAATACTAGATGTTTAAAACTTGAAACAAACACATTAACAATCAGGTGACTTCAACTCTGTTGAACGCATTTCCAAATTTCTTTACATAGAAAATCTAGCATATCATCACCATTGGCATTGTATACTGGTCACATCTAATTAAGGAACTAATAATAATAGTTAACGTTTATAGTGTCTGCCCTCTGCCAGGCACTGTGTTAGGCACCTTCCAATCATGTGAGATAAACTGAGGCAACTTGCTTAATGTCACCCAGTTAACAAATTTCAGATCCATACATTTTCCCAATTTGCCTTGGTGCTAAACAGTATAATAATTTCTGACTTAAAATATTAAATTAAGAGCATCGCATTTCATTTAAAATATTACCAGAATGAATTACATTACCTTTTGGTTGTGTTCTGGTACACAAAAGTTTTCTCTTTTATGTGAGACAGAAAAGATTAAGTGCTATCTCTCTTTTTGATCTGAGGGGAAAAGATTCCCCTTATCTATCTTGTCTTTCCCTCCACATTTAAAATTTGGCCAGAGTTAGAATGGAGAGAAAGAGAGAGAATTTTTTTCCCAACAATTCTCCAAAAGATTCCAAACCTTTTACTCTCAAACCCTCTGTTCACACTGTTCATGCAAATAGATTATGCTTTTCTTTCTACCCATACTGCTCTCATTTCTACATGCTTAAACTTTCTTGCCTTTCCTTCTACCTACTTATCCCTGTGATGCACTTTGATTAAAGTCCCTTTATAACTGCACACATCTTATTTCTTTCTGATCTGATACTTTGAGGATCCTTCTCAACTTGCCTTTTACCAATCATATAACCTAAATAATAAAGTATTTTTCTCTCTTTCTCTCTCCCATCCACCTGCTCCTCTGAGGCTGCTGTAATCAGGAAGGTAGAGGGGGAGAGAAAGAAAGTGGCATTCCAGAGTCCAGCTGCAGCCTTGGGATGCTACTCTTGCTACCTGGCTGCAAATGGACATTCACTCATACCACACAGACACAAACACAGAACAGATACGTGCTAATGACAGGGAGAATCTAAGAGCTCAGAGAGACTTGTCAGAAATCCCCTACACAAATCAGACAATTTTTTTCATGGTTCTCCAGATCGTATGGAAATCAGTCAAAATTTTCCTTAAGGTCTTGGAGACTGAGCTTTCTCCAGTTCTGTAAAAGATAACTTAGGGGCAAATCTCGAGGTGTAGAGGGAGATTGGCCCATCCTCTTTGCCTATAAGCCTTAAGGAAAAAAAGGGACCGGCTCCTGTAGTCTATTCGCCTGGACCAGCATCCTGGTGAAGGAGAAAAATTCTGCAGACGTTCCTAAACAAGGCATCCCTTGTCAAGAGGGAAATCCACTAGAGCCTGTTGCTGGCTCGACCCAAAGCCCCAGCAAGCCTTCCTAGGTGCTTGAGGGGTGACCCAAGTACAGGGTGAGAGGAGGGGGAGGCTTACCTTGACTCGGAGAAGGCTTGAGACTTCAGACAAGCCCCACGTTGGGCGCCATAAATGTTGCAGTCTGAGAGGTCGAGATCCTTCAAAGACTGGAGTAAAGGACAGGGACACCTGGAATGAATTCACAGACCGAAGCATTCTTCAAGTCAAGGTGGCAGAGATTTATTGTTATGCTTTTCAGTGAGCAAGGACTCTTAAGGAACCTTCAAGAGACTGAAGATGGAGTGAGGGTTTATATGGAAAAGGGCATGGGAAAAGAATGCCAGGGACACTGATAAGGTAACCCAAAGGTCTAGGTGTCTTTGGGAGTTATGGATGGAAAGTGTAGGGAGTATACTAATCAGGGAGGGAGATGACAGAGGCATGGCTCTTGGGAGTCTGGCAGGAGGAAGAGTCCTTGGGCCGGCCAAGGACAAAACTCCTTGGGCTGGATGAGGCACCCTCTCCCTCTGTCTTGATGAGAGAATGCTCTGCAACAAGGGAAAGCTTTCTCACAAGACAGGAGCTTACTAAGGAATTGGGAGGCTTCCAGAGACATGATCTGAGGGCTGGGGCCTGAGCAGCCCAGCACTCTCTCACCCAGCTTTGTGTAGCTGCACCAGGGAGACAGATAAGGGTCTTGCTGGGGCCACGCATGAGTGATTGCTAGACACAGTGTCCTTGGGCTGGGGAGTGGTTGTCAGAGACAGTGTTTCTGAGACTAGGGAGAAATCGGGGTCCAAGTTCAAGCAGAAGCTCCCAAAGACAAGCATCCAAGCACCCCCACCCTATTCACCTTCCCTTCGATCAGTCTCCACCACCACCTCCTTCATCCCCTTTCCCTCCTACTATCCTGAAGGGTAAAGCAGATTTCTACATCCAACTGAGTGTGTATGTTATTCCTCTTTGAGCCAATTCTGATAAGGGTAGGGTTCACACCCTTCCTTCTGCCATTTTCCCCTCTACTGCAAAATCTCTTTCCAAAATCTCTTTCTCTTCTATGTCATATAGTTTACCCCATTCTCCCTCTCCCTTTCCCCTTCTCCCAGTGCATTTTTCTTTCTCACTCCTTAATTTTTTTGTGATAATCATCTCATCATATTCAACTCACACCCACACCCTCTGTCCATATATACTACTTCTAACTGCCCTAATAAGAAAGTTTTAGGAGTTGCAAGTTATCATTTTCCCACATAGGAATGTAAACAATTTGACCTTATTAAATCCCTTATGATTTCTCTTTCCTATTTACCTTTTTATGCTTCTTTTGAGCCTTGTATTTGAAAGTCAAATTTTCTATTCACCCCTGGTCTTTTCATGAGGAATACTTGAAAGTCCTTTATTTATTTCATTGAATGTCCATTTTCCCCTTGAATACTCAGTTTTGCTGGGTAGATTCTTGGTTGTAATCCTACCCTTTTGCCCTCAGGAATATCCCATTCCAAGCCCTCTGATGCTTTAAGGTAGAGACTGCTAAATCCACAGTATTTGAACTGGCTGTTTGCAATATTTTTCCCCTTGACCTGGGAACTCTGGAATTTGGTTATAATATTCCCAGGAGTTTTCCTTTGGGGCTCACTTTCAACACATGATTGGCAGATTCTTTCAATTTCTATTTTACCCTCTAGTTCCAGAATATCAGAGAAGTTTTCCATAATAATTTCTTAATAGATGATGTCTAGGCTCTTTTTTTTATCATAGTTTTCAGATAGTCCATAATTTCTAAATTCTCTCTCCTAGGTCTATAACCTGGAAAGGTCAGTTGTTTTTCCAGTGACACGTTTCACATTTGTTTCTATTTCCTCTAAAATGTTTTGCTTCTAATTGCTGCCTTCCCAATCCATCCCCACTTCTATCAGCCCTCTCCCTTCTCTTATCCCATTCCCCTCCTACTTTCCTGAAGAGTAAGATAGATTTGTATTCACGAGTAAGTGTGTATGTTATTTCTTCTTTGGGCCAATTCTTATGACAATAAGGTTCATGTGTTATTCCCCACCACCACATCTCTTCCCCTCCAGTGTAAAAGCTTTCACACTTCTTTTATCTGAGATTTGCCACATTCTGCTTCTCCCTTTGTGCTTCTCACAGTGCACACTTTTAATTTTATTTTTTAGATATCATCCTATCATATTCAATTCTCAACTGTGCCCTCTGTCTAACTGCCCTAATAATAAGAAAATCCTTAGGAGTTACAAGTGTCATCTTCCCATGACGGAATGCAAATGTTTAACCTTATTTAAAGTTTAACCTTTAACCCTTATGATTTCTCTTTGCTTTTTGCCTTTTTAAGCTTCTCTTAAGTCTTGTGGATTAAAGACTTCTTGAGGACAGGAACTGTTTCACTTTTGTCTGTTAATCCCTGACATCTAACCCAGTGACTGGCACCTACTAGATGCTTAGTTGACTGGTAGGCTAAAACCCTGGAACAATGACAAAAGTATAGCCAGAACCAGGAGCAGAGAATGAGGAATTCTTTATTCAGGTAGGCATCTCAAAGGCCAGGCTACAAAGTCTCTCCAAATTGATGCAGGCAAAGCTTCACCTCACTTAAATGACAGGTGGCCAAACCCTCTGGGAACCTCTAGGATGAAGATGAACCTCGTGATGTTTGCCAGGATCAGGCCTGACTTCTTGATCTTTCTTCTGTGTCCTGGGAAGCTCCATGACAGACTAAGAGGGCATAAAAGAATAAGGAGGGACCCAGCGCCAGTTAGCAGTAACATCCCCACCATGTACCTCTCCCTTTATTCTCTGCCTTTTATTAATCCTTGCTGCCAGCATTTTATCTTCCAGATCTTCTCCTCTGCTTCCTTAGGTCACTGTCTCCTAAGTGTCTTTGATTCTTTTTCTTTGTCTGAGCTCTTATACAGCCAGAACATGAATATTTTCGTGTCTACCTCTCCCTCACCCACCTTGGTAACAATGCCACTTTCCCATTCAGCAGCCTCTTCTGTGCCTGTCTCCTTGGATCCTCTGATGCTGCTGTGGCCAACAGATTCTAGCTCCCTCTTCAGCCTGTGCCAGGAGCCAGAAATGGAAAGCCCAAGTTAGAATGGGTTATACAAGGCAGATGGACAGAGAGAAAGAGGAAAACAGAGTGAAGGAAAGATAAAGAAAGGAGGATAGATAGATAAAAAAGGGAAGGAGAGAGAGATGGAGAGACACAGGGAGAGAAACAGTGAGAGATTAATGAGATGTAGATGAAGAAACACACATAATCAACTGATCACCACCTCTTCTGGGGAATCTTGGGGGTTCACCTTTGGTATTTCTGCTGTAGCTGGTGATAGTGAAGGGAGGCTGCCTTCAGGGATTCTGTGGCTTTCTTGTTTTCTTCCTCAAACAGTTGCTTAAGAAATATTGCTTGGAAATCAGAACTGCCTCTTCTGAGATGCATTCCTCAAACCCCAAGGCCTAGCCAACCCTCCTTTACTTCCTCCTCCTTCCCCCTGAGCCCCACAGAGGCTCGCATAGCTGCAGCAGCCTCCTCACTGCACAGGAAGGCATCCACACTGGTGACAGCTGTGGCTTCAGTCTTGGCCTCAGGCTGGGTCAACCTGTCCAGCTGCTTCTGGATACTGTCAAGCTTCTCCTGAGTTAGCCTCTCTGGTCACAGGAATACAAGTTATGTCAGATGCCCTCTCATCTGGGATTTTGCTGTCCCTATCCAATCAATCTCCCTTCCTGAAGACTCTGAATAGGTGGACACCCAGTCTTCAGCTGTATTTGGGGCAAATGTTCATCTCCCCCCCATGAGAAAGGTAGGTTATCCTTAGAAGAATCTAGAATACAATCCTAGGAAAGAGGAAGTTCATTTTCTCAAAACAGGCATTATTCACCTTTCCCTCCCCTCTATCATTCCCTGCCCTCCAACACCGGGATTCTCACCCTCTATGAGAAGCTGTTCCTTGTTGTTGTTGTTGACCTTGCTGATTTCCTGGGATAGTTTGGCTGTCTTCTAATACACGGAAGAAAAGGAGGCCAGCTGCACCTAAAGACCCCTCCCTCCACAGGAATGCCTGCCCTCACACCACAGTATAGAAGTTCACAAAATTTCAGTTAGAAAGGACACCAGAGGCCTACTTAACTAACCCGTTCCTGAACACAAATCTCTTTTACATCACCAACAGATAGCCATCTACTTGAAAACTTCCACTGAGATTGCAAATCTAGTTTTCTTGAAACCATCTAAAAACCATGCCGGCCCTCTTCCACCTTAAACACAACTCCTTAAACCAGTGACTCCATATACTCTCCCTAATTACCCTTTCAATTCACCTTCAGCTCTAAATGATGGTGGTTATTTCACTGTCCACTTGTGCATACTAGGTGTGTCCCTTTCTTCAAGTATTCCCCTCATCCTACATCCCACCTTCCATACTCCCCACCAATAACCATTTATCTTCAGATCCTGACCACAGGTTATCCCCTCACATGGAATTCCCAGACAGTCTTATTCTTCTCCATCATTTCCTCTAGTTGCTGGCCAAACTCCATTCTAAGGAAAAAGAAAGCAAAGGATTGGTCAGGGTCGCTACCAGAAGAAGCTCACCCTCCAAACAATCACTAAGGCACACCTTTAGAACCGACGAAGCTCTAATCCTCCCTTCTGCAGGAAGTTTTTCTCGGATTCTTCCAGTATACAAAGATCTCTCCCACTTTTAAATATTTCCTGTATTAAGCTTCAACTGTCTCATCACTTACAGAGTCACTTAATTCCAGAACTTGAAGACTGACCATCTAGTCTAGGCCTCTCACTTTAAAAATCAAGAAACTAGGGGAAGAGAAGAGAGTCATGATGATGAGCTAGGAATAGAACTCAAAGCTGTCCGAACATCAGTGCTCTCTGGGTCTTAATTTCTTCCCCTGTAAAATCAAACCTAACTCTACTTGATGTTTTCTAATATCCCTTCAAACTCTGACAATCTGATTATCTATGGACTTCTCTTGGTGCAAAGAAATGCAATGCAATGGGAAAAGCCCTGGACAAGTAGTCAGGAGACTCAAGAAACTGCAACTGCATAATTAGGCAATCTTGGGCAAGTCCCATCTTCTCTCTGGAACTCAGTTTTCTTATTTCCAAGTCATATGGTTGGATTAGATGATCTTCAAAGTCCTTTCAGGATTTTTTTCAATTCTATGATTTGGGCCCCTTCCAGCATTGCTTTGTATGTCCCATATTTCTGAGGAGGACACAGTCTTCTGACTCTAGTTTTCTTTGGTTCACAAACTCAATTTTGCCTTGAATTCAGAGATCATCAAGCACCAGCCTAAAGGCTGAAACAAGGTTTTACCTCTGATTCCTTTTCTTCAGTTTTCCTTCCTGGATTTTGGAGTTCAACTCTGTTATTCTCTTTTGGTATCCCTCAAACACTGCCTGCTGTCTGGAGAAAGAAAAGTTGAGGGAAGAGGTAACCTCAGAATTTGGTGAATCTTATCCCTCTCGGGCAGTCCTTCAGAATTCCTTTTGTCAGGATGCTCTTAAAGTAGCTGTGTAGTCAGAGGTCAGTGAAGGGGGACATTTCACGTTGCTTGGCAGTTTGTATCCCTTCCTAGCTATCACGCTCTGAATCATGCCTTATACACTGAAAGAGCATTCAATAATCACTGGACTCAAATCCGTCTAATAACATTTATCATTGGGATCAATACCTCTAGGCACTGAGATTCTACGATCCTGTGAGTTGTAAAAAGAAAACTTTCAGGACACTTCACACCCTTGTATTTGTATCCCTAGCACTTAGCACAGTGCCTGGTAAGGCCTAGTAAGTAAGACCTTACTAACTGCTTGTTACCTTGCCATCACAAGCAAAACCAATGCACCAATGTCACTCAGGCCAGACAGCTCAGCACGACTTTGCTGGGGCTTTTTCTCATAGGATGCTGGATGTGGAAAGAGTTCTGGTGAATGGTGAAATGGAAAAAGAGCCAGTTACCTTACCACCTCAGTTTCTTTCTCCTGGCAATGCAGGCGAAGGATCCTCAGAGTTTCTAGAATGAAAGAAGTCAAAAGGTGGCCAAAAGGCCATAGAGGGACTTAAATGGCACATGAACTATCTTCTTAGGACCCCTGCCTTTTTAGAACTACCTAACAATGGAGCCAGGTCCCTGATTCCCCCTATTACTAGTCCCTTCCCTCTCCAGCTACTCTATATTTAACTACTTTGCATTTGTTTGAATTTGTTCTCTTTATACTTAATCTTAATTTAGCTACATATATACTTACTGTCTTCCCCTCTACAATGTAAGTTCCTTGAAAGCTGGGGTTATTTCATTCATTCTATTTGTATCTGCAACCTAGCACAGTCCCTGGCACATAGTAGGTGCTTAATACAAACTTGCTGATTGGCAGATACCTTGCTTCTTGCTCAAGATTTCCTTCAGTTGTGTCTCCTCCAAGCTCACTGCAAATGACAGAAATTAGACAGTCAACCTCACCTGTCTGTTCTCCCCACTCTTTGTATGCCTGGCCTGGAGCAAGTTGACTGGGTTGCTAGTCTGGCTGCTAAAATGATTTTGCAGTAGCATGGTGGGGTTATGGGATTGAAGCTGGACCCCTAAAAGGAAAAGACCATGTCTTTGAAAGCAACCTAGTCCCTGAATTTTCCCATACATTTCAGTAGTCCAGATCACTAGTACCTTCCCCCAAGACATCTGGCCCACCCCCAGCCCACCTTCATTACTCAATTAGTTTATTTGATACTCCTTAATCCCATCTAGATCCCTTCACTGTTACTTCTGTACCACTACTAGGGATTTACCTTCCTTAATCCCATCCAAATTTTCTTACAGCCTTTTTCTGTACAAAAGTACTAATCTTACTCCCATTAAATTGTGCTGATTCATTTAGAATCTTGCCTGCTTCTATTGGCATCACAATAGACTTGCTACTTTGACTGGAAGGCTTGAGTGGCCAAATTCTATTGAGGCAGATCTTCCCTGTACCTTTGCATTTCAGGGTTCCCAGCACTCTCAAACCATATCAATTCCACTCTGCTCAATCAATCCCAGTGGCTCCCTATGGCTTCTAGGGTTATAGGCCTAAAGAAAAGAACCCCAAAGGTTCCCTATGCAGATAACAAATTGAGCTCCAAAAGCAGAACTTAAGAGTCAATCAAAAATAAATTCCTGTTTAGATTTTAAAGCCTTTCTCAATTTGCTCCCAACCTATCTTCATAATACATTGTGCTCTACAACCCAGTCAAACTGACCTTCTCTGTTTTCACCCAGACATTTTTTTTATTTCCTGTCTTTGCAATGGCCAGGCCCTTGACCAAAATATATGGCCTCTTTATCTCCACCTCTTTCTCTATCTCTCTTTGTTCAAGCACCTCCATCCCTTTAAAGTCCTCCTGATACCCACAACAGTCTAGCGGCCTTCATCAATAACCACCTCACAGATAACCATCATGCATATGTTCATTTTATATTCATTCCATATTTGCTTATATATGTACCTTTGATCTTTCCCATTAGAATTTATTTCATTCTTTACATTTGTTTCTTCAGGACTTGGACCATAATGATATCCACTTAATACATGCTTACTGACTGACTGATTTGACATTGTGGCCCTTTCTTTACAGATAGGAAGTTATTTCATTCTTTACTTTTGTTTCTTCAGGACTTGGACCATAATGATATCCACTTAATACATGCTTACTGACTGACTGATTTGACATTGTGGCCCTTTCTTTACAGATAGGAAAACTAAGCTCTAAGGATGGACTTTCACAATAGGTATCATAAGGGAAAGATAAATTAAGGTTACAAGCCTTGGGCAGTCTGTGGTTCTGTTTTTGCTATCTGTGAAACAGTAGGTTAGGGGCAGCTAGGTGGCACAGTGGAGAGAGCACTGGCCCTGAAGTCAGGAGGACCTGAGTTCAAATCCAGCCTCAGACCAAACACTTGACACTTACTAGCTGTGTGACCCTGGGCGACAAGTCACTTACCCCAACTGCCTAAAAACACACACACACACACACACACACACACACAAAGTTAAAAAAAAAAGTAGACTATTTGCTGTTTGTCCTTGTTTCTTGAAGAGGACTACAACATGCCATGGCATGCAAACAAATTGGATTTAAGTGAGCAAGTGCTGTGCAAAGTCACCAGCCTCACTTTCTCCTCTGGATGCATCTGAGTCCAGTGGCCTGATATATAGATCTGGAGATGACCCTGGACGCAGAGCAGAACGTTGGTCTTTTCAAGCCAAGGTCTTTAACAGGTCTCAGTCTGACTGAGGCAACGCCAGTTCAGTGATTAAGGCTTAATAAGAGGCAAAGGATGGTCTCTTAAAAAAAAAAAATCTGGGAAAGGAAGACTCTCAGGGTTTCTCACCAAACAGAAACAACTGCTGTTACATTCTTCTTAAACCAATCACAGCCCAAACCAAAGATCCCGAGGGTATTATTGGCCCATCACTGAGAGCTAGAGTGATTTACAGGTTAAAGGTGGTGATGAGGTTGGGAGCTAGACCCCAAAAAGGCAACCCTGGACTTTGTGGCCAAATCTCTGGCATTTGCCTAAGGCTATAATGGCATCAACTGGCCTTTCACTGTGGCAATGCCCCAGTCTCCCAATTCTCTTACCCTTCATTTAGCCTAGCCCTCCATTGTCTTACTTCTCTTTGGCCCCCAGTCATTTCCCACCCTTAACCCTGGCTAGGCTCCATCTATTGGCCAAGAGGTCCAGTTCCCAGGCATTCTGTTCACTGGTTTACTGGCCACTCCCATCCAGATGTCCTTAGACCCCTCCTCCAGTCACCCAACCTATTTAGCCACTCCTACATCCTCCCTCAGTCTTTCTATATATAAAGTCCATTTTGTCTCCATTAGCATGCTCAGACTTTTATAATCTAGCCACTGCTCAGATTTTTACAATCGCTCATAAGTGCTCAGATTTCCTTAAGAGTCTGGCCAATATGGCAAATTTTTAATAAACCTTGTCTTTGGCTGAAAGAAGGCTTGGGTCGAATTCTTGCAGCCAAGATCCTTGTGTCATGATTTTGGGGTTCCAGCACCCCTAAACTTCTAGACCTCGTCAGTAGTATTTAAGAAAAAAGGAAAAAAGTTTCAGAGATAGAAATTAAAATTTCCTTTGGGCAGAGCACCCTCAAGTAAGGCTGTGATACATTATGTGGATAGAGGGAAAGAAAGAAAGAAGCAAAAAAGAGAAAGAGAAGGAAAGGAAGGAGAGAGGAAGGAAGGAGGGGGAAGAAAGAAAGGAAGGAGGAACAAAGTAAGGAAGGAAAGGAGGAAGAAGGAAGTGATGATGTAGCGCTTGAGGCAGATGAAGCAAGCAGGACTTGAGATAACAGATAGGATGCAGGATGTGAGCAGCCAGAAAAAAAACGATCGAAAAGCCCCCACTGTACACTTATCTGGGTGCTTTCACAAAGCACCCTCAATTTCAGAACAACTCTTCCCCTCCCCTTTCTTGTTCCCTCTGCTTATCATCTCCAGACTACCTGATGTCCCAGGCATTTTGGAGCCATTCTCTTGTCCTCTTCCTCTATTCTATAAAATTGTATTTAAACCATACCTTTGACCTGGCTAGCCACCTCTGGGAAGCAGAAGCTGCTCTACTCAGGGAGCAGAGCCTGTGACCTATGCTCTGCCTCCCATGTGGAGTAGAGTCCATTGGGGCTCTGCCTGATGGGGAGCAGGCACGCTTGGGTGCATCACCCCAATAAATGCCTTTCTTTAACTTAGAGACTGTACCAAGTGAATTCTTTCAGGACACTAGGACCACATGTCTATTCCTTATCATTTCAGGTAGCACCCCAACATTCTTGGGGTCCACCCTGAACTTATCACCAATGGCTACAGTAGAAGGTCTAAATGAATTGTTTTACATGTGAACCAGCTCTCCCAACTCTAACTTCAACAGAAGGAACAAAAGAAAGATAGAAGGAGGAAGAAACAAAAGGAAAGAAGAAAGAAACGAAAGGAAAGAAGGAAGGGAACAAAGAGGGAAAGAATGGTGTGTAGGTTATATAGATAACCTCTAGATAGATAATTGTTTTTTTTCTTTACATCTTTTTTTCTCTCAGTCTTCATAGGGCAGGTGCTGTGCACAAAGTGAATGTAGGTTTTAATCTCTGAAACATTTTTTTTTCTTCTTAAAGACCAGCCTTAACCCCACATCATCTCATGGATCAGACAACAATAGGTCCCAGGCCAAGCCCTGCTTGGTCAATGTTTTGGCCTTGACTGCTTTAGGATGAATGTATATACCAATTGTTTTTGTTTTGGCCAGAAACGCTGAAGGTCTTTCCTTCCCAGAGTGATTTTTTAAAAAATTAATAAATGATTAATATATTTGTTTAGAGTAGGTAAAGAGGCCACTCTCTGCCTCATTTCTTATTAGGCCTTTATCATTGAATGGGCAAAGGACAAACAACAATAGATAATCTCCAAAGTGTTTGTCAAATTTGGCTCCTGTGAATGCAGGTATGGAAAGCAGACCCTGGTACAACCAAATTAGATGACTTTGTGATGGTAGGCTTTGGGGACAAAAAGGTTGTTTGAATCTGTGGCACTTAACTTTCATCTAGTTCTTTCTGCAGGGATTGCCTGTGGGCCTGGGTTTCACAGAGTTCCTTATTTGCAATTTTCTTAGCTGTCAAGACAAAGACAAAAGGAGATATTTACAAATGGGTTCTTCCATATTGCTCCTCCTCCCACTTACTTCATAGAGCAGGAATTTGAAAACTGAAAAACAGTATGAGATTTACTCAAAGTTGTACATAGAAATCAAATTTAGTATACAGGTCAGTGGATAGTTCCTGAGGTTTTACTTTGATACTCTCTGCATTTTCTTTGGGGTTCAGTTGTACTACCATGTCTTTTTAAATCTTTCTTTCACCAGCCCAGCCTGCTCAGATTTTCCCTATTTTGAAGTGGGACTCGGGGAAATGAGTTTCATGTAGGCAGAAGGAATACAGAGGCTACTGAGGTAACTGTTTCCATGTAGTTTGAGGGACTTTTAAAAGCCTTGGTTCACCTTGCTGCAATTCATTAATTCTTCTGATCACGTCTTCAGTCCTAGGGTCTAGGAGGGAGTAATAACTTCACTTACACTTTGACTTTGTAAATGTGATCAGCTGCCAATGTCCTGAATATTTATGACATGGGTCTTTTTAAGAAGAACAGGACAGCAGCATGGTAAGCACTTTTCTAAGTATATTTTCTATACAAAATAATTCCAAGATATAATCATTAAGTTCTCATACAGTACAATTATTTTAAACAATAATCAATAAAATAGCAAATATGTGAAAATTGCACCACCACAAAGACTGAGCACTGCCATTTCCTAGTGTAATCAAAGTTGGTATTAGTACAGTCTTGGCGAGCAAAATAGTCAGCAGATTGAATCTTGGTGATACACTTGACTGATTTCAGCTATGACTTGCAATGGAATGGTTGGACAGTACAGGTATCTTATGCAGAGATTTCAGTAGCAGAATGGCACTTGGTTTGTTCTCAATAGAAATGACAAGGATGCAGTTGACAATTTAAAGAAAGACAATGTTCTTATTTGCATGCTAAAATTCTAGTTGTGTCCCCTGTATTTGAACACTTTCAAATAATATTGTCTGTCTCTCTGTTCTGCCCACGAGCTCTGCCCCATATTAGCTAACTATCTTATAGGACACTACTTAGCCGGTGTGGCTTACTTTCCCTTTAAATCAGAGAAGCCGAAAAGCAGCAGTCTCGTTCTGAAGTTTACTTCAGCTTTTGGAGACGCTGAAAAGCCGCCAGTCTCTTTTGTCCGCCTGTGCGGTTTGCTTTCCCGCCTGTGCAGTTTGCTTTCACTTTAAATCTGAGACCCCGAAAAGTGGCAGTCTCGTTCTGATGTTCACTTTCACTTTAAGAGACCCCAATAAGCAGCAGTCTCGTTCTGAAGTTCACTTTCACTTTAAGAGACCACCATAAGCGGCAGTCTCGTTCTGATGTTCACTTTCACTTTAAGAGACCACCATAAGCGGCAGTCTCGTTCTGAAGTTCACGTTCACTTTAAGAGATTCCGATAAGCGGCAGTCTCGTTCTGAAGTTCACGTTCACTTTAAGAGATTCCGATAAGCGGCAGTCTCGTTCTGAAGTTCACGTTCACTTTAAGAGATTCCGATAAGCGGCAGTCTCGTTCTGAAGTTCACGTTCACTTTAAGAGATTCCGATAAGCGGCAGTCTCGTTCTGAAGTTCACGTTCACTTTAAGAGATTCCGATAAGCGGCAGTCTCGTTCTGAAGTTCACGTTCACTTTAAGAGATTCCGATAAGCGGCAGTCTCGTTCTGAAGTTCACGTTCACTTTAAGAGACCCCGATAAGCGGCAGTCTGGTTTCTTTTTAATCCCCGCTTAACCTGGTGAAAATAAAAAACTATATAGGAAAAGTATCGCCCTACCTTGTTAGCGTCTTCTCTTGACGACTGGAGCTCCTTTTCTAGGGCTGTTGGCCAAACAGCCCACCTTGTCCAGGGCCACTCTGCCGGGGGAAGCCTTCCTTTCAGGTCTTGGCGCCAAATGCCGGAAGCGCCTGCGTCCCCGGCTGTGGTCTGATGCCGGCAGAGTGTGAAGAGAGAAAGAATCACGGGCCAGGTGAGAGCAGTGAAGAACAAACTCTGTTTACTGATCTGAGGGCTCAGGCTTATATAGTACTGGATCAAGCAATAGTAACATTATTATTCATGAGAAGTACAAATCTAGTTAAGTGATTTCCTTACTTCCTTGTACCTTGTCTGTTACATTCTTTACTGCGTCCTGTCCTGTACCCCATCCGTTTCCTCCCTTCCCGCGTCCTGGTCTCAAGAAACGGAACAGGGGGTGGTGAGCCGACATCCTGAGTTTCACAGCTGTTAGGCTTAGTACAAGCTACAGGTAAGACCCGGGCTGGCCGAAGCCCTCCAACTCTCCTCTACAGACTCAGAATGAGACTTTTTTTTTACATGTCCAACGCAGAAATTTGTTTTACTTTACATATTTCTTTTTTTCCTTTCCTTTTCTTTTTTCTTTTGTCTTTTCTTTCTTTTTTTTTTTTTTGGCAATTGGGGTTAAGTGACTTGCCCAGGGTCACACAGCTAGTAAGTATCAAGTGTTTGGTCTGAGGCCAGATTTGAACTCAGGTCCTCCTGACTTCAGGGCCAGTGCTCTATCCACTTCCCACCTAGCTGACCCCAACTATACATATTTCTAAGAGGAATTATGCTTTTTTTTTTTCATTTTCATTGGGAGGGTAAGGGAGAGGGAGGGAAAGAAGGGAATCATTTTTTACAGAGTGAAAAAAAATTTTTCTATATATACACATATATTTTATATCTCTGTGTGTGGGGGAGTCTATCTACACAGAAGCCTTGAGTACAACAATCTCCTGGGAAACTAATCATAAACATTTATTACTTCCACTTGTTTCACTGTATCTGACAGATATTCATCTTGTTGGTATTTTGTGCAAAGCATTTCTCTGTGTTAAACACAGTTATTTCTTGTCTTATTGACCATTGTTGTCTCTTGGCTTAATTAGAATTGATAAGGAAGTAAACTACATCTTACAAAAAAGGTTCCATGGGCAATAACATCAATACTAAACATATATGGACCAAATGGCATCTAAACTCTTAAAGGAAAAGTTAAATGAATTGTAGGAGTAAATGGTAAAATAATACTAGTGGGGACTTCAATTAACTGATCTCAGAAGTAGATAAATTTCACTATAAAACAAATAAGGAAGAAGTTAAAGACCTTGACAAAAATTCACAATGTCTTAGGGCACAAAAACCTCACAATCAAATTCAGGAAATCAGAACTATTAAGTGCACCTTTTTCAGACTATGATTAAAAAATTATATTCAATAAAAGGCCATAGAAGCATAGATGAAAAATTAATTGGAAATTAAACAATCAAATCCTAAAGAATGAATGAGTCAAAGAACAGATCATAAAAACAATCACTCAATTAAAGAGAATGACAATGATGCAATATACCAAAAATATAAGATGCAGCAAAAGCAGTAATCAGAGGAAAAATCTACATTTCTAAATTCTTATATCAATAAAATAGAGAAACAGCAGGCCAGTGAATTGGGTATGCAATTTAAAACAATTAGAAAAAGAACAAATTAAAAATCTCGAATTCAACACCGAAATATAAATCCTGAAAATGAAAGAGAAATTAATAAAACTAAAAGTAAAAACTTGTCCCATAAAAACAAAACTGCTATAAGGTTAACAAATAAAATACTTTCTAATCATTAAAAATGAGAGTACAATGATCTGCTTCAGGAAGGAAGTAAAACTGGTGATCACTTGGGTATCTTACAGATATGTGACAAGGTATATGGAATAATGTGGACAATGGATGGGAAGTATGCACAGTATAATGATAACATAATAATGGTGATGATGATGATACTTAACATTTATATAGCACTCAGTATGTGCCAGGTACTGTACTAAGTACTTTACTAAGAAGGCGCTGGCATGTGGGCACAGGAAAAAGATGGGTGATGGCTACTTCCAGATAGAAGAGAGGTACTGACCAGAGCAGGTATGAGGCGGGTCCTTTAACATTTACACCAGGGTAGTCATTGGGATGTCCAGAACCTGTGTGATGCCATCCTGACTTGGTTCATGTCTCCTGGTTTTTATACCTTGGCTCAACAGTTGGCAAACGGGTGCCTTGTATGTTGAAGGGCAAACAAGTCTGCGTTGTGCCAGACTCTGGTAGGGGGCAGGCCCCAGGTCTTAGAGCTTTTCAGAGCATGCAGGTGGATTTCACCGAGCTACCCCCTGTAGGACACCTCAAATGCCTACTGGTCGTAGTGAACCGCTTAACTTCTTGGGTCGAAGACTTTCCTTTTCGATGTGCCACTGCTCCTGCAGTGGGAAAAATTTTACTAGAGCAAATAATTCCAAGGTATGGAGTGGTAGAACGGATTGATTCGGACCAGGCGACCCATTTCACAGCCAAGGTTCTGCAGGCTCTAGCCCAAGCCTTGGACGTTACCTGGGAGTTTCACACCCCCTGGCATCCTCCCTCATCTGGTAAGGTTGAAAGGATGAATCAAGAGATTAAGAAACAACTTACCAGGTTAGCCTTAGCACCAATTGCACTGGAATAGATGCCTGCCTCTGGCCCTTCTCAGAATCCAAACCAAACCCCGCAGGGGCATAGGGCTTTCTCCTTATGAACTTTTGTATGGACACCCTTACCCTGAGGGAGAGGAAGGGAATTAGGACCCTCTGTTTGAACAAAAGGATAAATTCTCAAGAGCATATGTATCTTCCCTGGCAAAACATTTGAATACTCTTCAGATAAAGGAACTAATTGCTCAAACCCCACCATTGGGATTCCCAGTCCACAGGTACCAGCCCGGAGATTGGGTCCTGATGAGAGTTTGGAAGGAGGAGAAGCTTACTCCCGCCTGGGAAGGTCCCTTTGAAGTTTTGCTGACCTCAGATACTGACATTCAGACTAAGGGAAAAGGTTGGACTCATTACACGAGGGCAAAAGGACTGATGGATCCCCCTTTGGTGTGGACTGTTGAATCCAGACATCCTGAGGAGCTGAGACTGCATCTCGGCAGAGGTCTCTTAGAGGATTGGACACATGAACAATAAGGGCTGGAAGTGCTTGGGTGGTGTGATCATCATAGCCTTTGTTCTGTTGCTCCTTTTTGTATTAGGCATTTTTATCTGTTGGGGGACCACATTTTTGGCCAAAGAATATTTCCCCTCTCCTCTCTGGTGGTGTAATCAGAGTGTGACGCTATGGAGTTTCCCTTGATTATTTTCTTATTGAGCTTGTCCTCCCTTTCCTTTCCAGCCCCAATCCCCTGGCTCCCCAGGGTCAATAGCTTCCAAAGCCTTGTTCAAATTATACCCAATTAACCTCACTAATTGTTGGATATGTGGAGGGCCACAGCAGTGAGAATATTGGCCTTGGGTCCCTGTTCCCCTGAAGCCACAATGGCTCCTTAGTAATAAGTCAGTAGTTAATAATGGGACAGGATCCTGGGAGAATGGGAAAAGCATTCATGGCCCCTTGCTGAGA